CTGTGTCTCTTCTAGCCAGGGGAAGCATCAGTCACAAGAAATTAAGTCTCCAAAATTCTAGTTCAATATCCAATTAAAAAGAGACTTTAAAAAAGGGGAATTTAAAGGGGTTATCTATTAGGAGTGTGTGACACCAGGCCTTTTGTGTGGGGATAACTCCTGGCATTAAATTGGCAAACAGTCTAAGATCGTAAGGCTGGTACATTTACTAGCTTATGGGAAAGGCAAACTGAGGAAGGTGAGACTTAAGGGCGGGAGGGATGGCTCGTGGGATTAGAGCAGGGCTGCTCTTCCAGGGGACTTGGGTTCTATTTCCTGCACCCACACGATGGCCCCTAAGTGTCTCTAACTCTGGTTCCAGCAGATCAGACGCCCTCTCCTGGCCTCCACAGGCACCAGACATGCAGGTGGTTCAGAGACGTACACACAGACAAATCATTCATACACATGAAATAAAAATAAATAAATCTAAAAAGAAAAGGAAAAGGAAATTGTTGTTGAAAGGAGGGATTTTGGGGAGTACTATTGATTGATTGATTGATTGAATGATTGATTTATAGAATCTTGAGTATCTTAGGTATCTTAGGATGTCATTAAGCTTGCCATGTAGCCAAGACTGGCCCTGAACTTCTGATGCTCTTGTTTCTGGCTCCAGAGTGTTAGGGTTACAGCACACACCACTATGCCTATAATCCGAGCACTCAGGAAGCTGATGTAGGAGGATTGCCACCAGTTCCAGGCTAGTCTGGGGTATATAATGAACTCCATACAGTCCTGGGCTCCATAGTAAGATATTGGTCTCAAAATACAAGCACACACAAAAATAGGAGATTCTGTGATTTAATGCATGTCATCACTAAGATCTCAAAACAAAAATGAACAGGGCAACAGAAAAATGGGCAGGGATATGATCAGAGTCCCAGCACTGAATAAATCCAAGCATGGTGGTGCATGCTTGTAATCCCAACACTTGAGAGATAGAGGCAGAAGAGTCATAAGTTAAAGGACTTCCTCAGCTGCATAATGAGTTCAAACCCAGCCTGAGCTACATGAAACCCTACCTCAGATAACTAAAACAAAATATTAAAAATGCTTTAAAATATTCTTTAGTATTTATTAAAAATGTATGTTACCTGAGATAGGGAAAGATATAAGGAACAGAAGAGCAAAGCCAGCATTCTAGAAACAAACATCGGCATGGTGTTGGCAAATGCACAAGATGACCTCAATTAAAATGGGTTTTTAGACCAGTTAGGAAAAACAAGAGCAATGACCTAGAATACTACAGAGCAACAGAAGGGAACGGGCTGTCATTACCCACAGCAAGTGAACCTTAGAGAAGTGACATGAAGGAGCAGCTCACCTGTGGCTGCCACACCCACTGACTCCTTGTAGTGAACTAAATAAACTTGTTTGGGGGGAAGGGAGGGAGGGAGGGAGGGAGGGAGAGAGAGAGAGAGAGAGAGAGAGAGAGAGAGAGAGAGAGAGAGAGAGAGAGAGAGAGAGAGAGAGAGAGAGAGAGTGCTTTTTTAAAAAGTGAAATGAGCCAAGTCTGGTCAGATGTGATGGTTTATGTCTGTAATCTCAACACTTGGGAGGCTGAGACAGGAGGATTTGCTAAGAATTGGAGCCCAGCTTGGGTTACATACTGAGACTCTGTCTCTAAAACAAACAAACAAGAAACCAAATCAAACAAACAAACAAAAAGTATCAAAGGTCATGTATTTGTAGTTCCATGTTTATGATTTAGTTAAAATATAGATTGAGAGGAGGGTTGGGGACACACCTGAGTTACAGAAGAGTGAGGATCCCACTTGGGATCCTAGAACTTACGTAAAGTCAGACACATGAGCAAGAATTGTAACCCCAGTTTTCCTATGGTGAGTTGGAGCCAGAGAGAGGAAGATAAGGACCAGTACCCAAGGTTGTCCTCTGACCACTATACATGTGCTGTGGCATGCATGTATTCACACACACACACACACACACACACACACACACACACACACACACACACACACACACAGTTTGTAGACAACTCAGTAGGTGGCATAGGTAGGATTTGCTTGGAAAAAACATAGGGATACCAAAAACACTACCAGAGAGTCCTGGGATGATGGTGCCCTGGTGGAGCTTTCATATGGTGGTGGCTACACAAAGAGGACTATCATGGTGTAGACCCCAAGTGTCCTCCAAAGGACAGTGTGTGTGTGCTGTCTAGTTTTTTGGCAACTTGGCACAAGCTAAAGTCATCTGGGAAGAAGGAATCTTAATCGAGAATATACCTCCATAATACTGGCCTGCAGGCAAATTTGTAGGGTATTTTTTTTTCTTTTGGTTGACGATTGGTGTTGAAGGGCTCAGCCCACTGTGAGTGGTGCCAACACTAGACAGGAAGTTCTGGATGAATAAGGAAGCAGACTGAGGGAGTCATGAGGAGCAAGCCGGTAAGCAGCACTCCTTCATGGCGTCTGCTTCACTTCCTACCTCCAGGTTCCTGCCCCGCTTGGTTCCCTGCCCTGACTTCCTTCAGCGTTGGAGTATGACCTGTCAGCTGTAAGACGAAATAAGCCCTTTCCTCTCCAAGTTGCTTCTGGTCATAGTGTTTTTATCGAAGAAATAGAAACCCCAACTTAAGATAGTGTGTCGATGGCTGGGTCTACAGTGTAGTGTGTGGTGCTATTGGAAGGTCATGAAACCCTTAAGAGGTGGGGCCTAGTAAGAGGTATCTTCCTCATGGGATATGCCATTCAAGGGGACTTGGACCCCTCCTGCTCTTCTCTATGTAAGATGAGTGCCTTTATTCTGTGGTGTGCTCCTGTGGTATGTGCTGCTGAAGCCCCAAAGTCATGAAGCCCGCTAGACAAGGAATGGAACATCCAGAACCCATGAGCTGAAATAAACCTTTCTCTTTATAAGTTTCTTTCTGTGTGTTAGGTTTTTTTTAAAGATTTATTTATTATGTATATAGTGCTCTGCCTTCATGTATGCCTGCATACCAGGAGAGGATACCAAATCTCATTATAGATGGTTGTGAGCCACCATGTGGTTTCTAGGAATTGAACTCAGGACATCTGGAAGAGCAGCCAATGCACTTAACCTCTGAGCCATCTCTCCAGCCCCATTTTTGTCTGATTATTTGTTTGTTTGTTTGTTTGTTGTTGTTGTTGTGAGAGACCCAGGCCCCAGAAAATCCCTGATCCAAAACTCTACATGTAAGCATTGAGGACAGGATGTAAAGGTATTCTGGCAATTGGGAGCCAAGGAATACCACAGGTCATGGAAAGCATAGCAGCTTACAGCTCTGCTACAGGAAAAGGCTTCCCCAGTGAAACAACTCTGCTTCGTTAGGGGAAGGCTTCCCAGGCAACTTTCCCTGCCCTGCCCTGCCATGCTGTGCTGCATTCCCGGGAAGGAAGGTCTCACCCAAACCTCATTCAAGACGTTTATTGGGAGGGAAGAATTCAGGAGAGTGGCTGCCTCTGCCAGGGTGGAAGAGTACAGGCAGACGGCCACCAGCTGAACAGACATGAGGTTTATATAGGGCTTCTTAGGGGTGGAGTTTTTCCAGGGAGATTTCCAGGGTAGGGATTGGTCAGATTTCAATCCCTAAATTCATATTGACTAGATCAGATTGGCTCAGGGATTGCTTGATTTTCTGCTGAGGTGTAGGGTCAGATTTGGCTTTCCATTCAGGGCCAAACTGTATTTCTTTCACTGGTCTATTTTAGCCTTTTGACTCTAATTTTAGGGCCAGAAGTTTCTTTCACTGGCTCTGATTCTAGGGACAAAGTGTGTTTCTTTTGGCTTTGCTCAGAGTGTGTTTCTTTGGCTGGTCCTTTTCCCCTACACTACACTAACCCTGAATGGCTTGGCACTGAACCCCAACCCAGTGAAAGAAGCAAAACTTGGATATGGGACCCAAGCCAGGGAGTCACTTTATCCCTAAATCTAGGAACACCTTAACTCCAAAACTAGCACCAAAAGAACACCTAGAATCAGAACCTATAAAAGACATTCACCCAGGTCCTAAAATTGAAACCTAAAAGCCAAAAAGAACCATAGGAAGAAACACAGTTTGACCCTGGAATAGGAACCTTCTCTGCCCCTGACACAAAGCCAGCCAATCCCTGAACTAGAAAACTGACCAATCCCAAGCCTGCAGTTTTGGAATTCCCCTGGGGCTGGGAATTCCCCTCACCCTATGGGGGCAGCCAATCACAAGCCTTGGAGCTTGAGAATTCCCCTCATCCCATGGCGGGGGCAGCCTATCACAAGCCAGATTGTATAAAAACCCCTTCCCCTCTCTGCTCTGAGTCTTTCCTGCTCTACTCCTAATAGCTGCTTTTGCCTCCCCTTTGGCCAGACACACAGAGGGACCCAAGTTAACTCGAAAATAAGACTCTTTGGTTTTGCATTGGCGTTGGTCTGGTGGTGGTGATTCGGGTTCCAGACTTTGGGCATAACAGTTGTTGTTTGGATACAGGCTCTCAAATGAGTCCCTCTTCCCATCCTCAGCAAGCAGTCTAAAAAAGGCCCTTTATACATTCATGATAATCTGGGCAGAGATTTTTAATTTTTCCTTTTTCAAATTTCAGACAATAAGTAGTAGATCTAGCAAGCAAGCCCCCTCTCACCAGGCAAGTGCTCAACCACTCATCTGCCATCCCAGACCTGGATGTCTACTTTAATATTCCATTATCACTTAACAATGGAAAAGATAGGTAAATCAACCATATCTCCAAAAATGCACTCATTCCAGGCTTCTGTGTAAAGCCCAGAGGACAACAAGAAGTTGGCTGTGGAGTTTTACACCTGTGGTTCCAGTGCCCAGGAAGCAAAGGCAGAAGGATAAGAAGTCCAATGACATCCTTAGTCACATATCAAGTTTGGGACCAACCTGGGCTACATGAGATTTGTCTCAATCAGTCAATTATTCAATCAGTCAACGTCAATCGATCAGAAAAAAAAAGAGCAAGAAAGGGCAGGATCATCCTTACCACATCCAATACAGCATGGACACAAAGGTCTAGGTAGACCGTGGTAGCCTCAGCCCAGTTGTAAACTGGTCTGACATCCTTGTGATACTGCTGTAAGAGCTGCCTGGTAAGACGATGCAGAGAGGAAGTTCTAGGATGAGGTGTCGTTGTGCCTACAATACCTAGAAAAGAAAGTTGTCGCTATGAAGATAAGGATAATGAGCATCATTAGGGGGCTGTAGATTGTCTGGGACATGGAGGCTTTCTGTGAGCTAGTCAGCTGACTCCAATCTGTGTAAATTCACAGCCAGCTGCTGGGCTCTCTAGCAGACACTGATCTGAAGTATGCTGACAGCCCACCATACACTGTGATGGCTAATCTTGGTTGTTGGTTTGAACTTCATCTGAGGAATTGCTTCCACCAGACTGGCTTGTAAGCATGTTCATGGTTGGTTGTCTTGACTATTAATTGATGCAGGAGGGTGTGGCCCATTGTAGGCAGTATCACCTTGGGCAGGGGGGCCTAGACAATATAAGAAAGGCAACTGATCCAGAGCCTGGGAGCAAACCAGCAAGCAGTGTCTCTCCATGGCATCTGCTTCAGTTCCTGCCATAAGTTCTTGCCTTGACTCTTCTTGGTAGTGGATTGTAACCTATAAGATGAATAATCTGCTTTTGGTCACGCTGTTTATCATAACAACAGGAAAACAAACTAGGACAAGCCATCAAAAGAGGTTGAACTGCAAAGATACATAAAGCAACTTCATCTTCAGGAATGCAAACTGTACCCGGAGTTCCATTTCATAGTGGCCATGCCAAAACAGAATTCTGTCTCTGCTCCTGTAATGTACTCTGTTGGTATGATGAAAAAAAGTCAATCACACTCTTAGCCCAAACTTAACCCCCATGTTGGTTTGTATATATGAGTGTGGGCATGTGCATGTACCCATGGGGAGGACATTGGGAATCTCAATCTATCACTCTGACTTACTCCCCTGAGATAAGATCTTTCACTGAGCATGGAACTTGGCTATCAAGCAGCAAGCCCCTGTAATGCTCATGACTTTATCCTCTACAGTGCTGAAGGTATAGGTATATACACACCAGTGCCCAGCTTTTTTCATGGATGGTGGGGATTCAAACTCAGGTCCTTGTGCTTTTGAAACAAAACACTCTTATGTACTGAGTTACCTCACCAGGCCTGTATTTTATTTTTCCTTTTTTCCTTTTGATTTTCCATGTGTAATGGCTAATCCATGGATCCCAAAGATCTGCATGGATTTCCACATAATGAAATTAATGAGAGTTCAATTCATGCTCTTTTGTTTCCATTGAAAAATCTATTTTCTCACACACCTGTCTTTGAATAAAATGTACTTGTCAGAAAATGAGATCTTTGCTTTGGGAGAATTCTCCCTGGTTTCAGGAAACAATCATTTCCTCTGATCCAGGAATCTTGATTTGTTAGAGGAGTCATGATTGGTGTCGAGGCAGGAGAAAGCAAGCAAGAGAAACAAACACCGGGGATTGGAAGTGACAGATTTGCAAGGGCTCTCTCTGAATTGCAAGGAGATATTTTGTTCACGAGCTTTGCCAACCCTTGGGGGATTTGAAGCTTCGATAACTCGTTGGACTGAAGCAAATTGCTCACTTCCTGCCATGGTGTGGGATGAGAGCTGTCTGTGGTGTCCTGCTTGTAGATTGGCCCTATTTTGATGAGCTCCGGAAGGTCTGGGGGAATCCAGTAGGAAACTGAATGAGATCGCTTCTCCCTGTGCAACAATCCTGTTTGAGCCCATTTCTTTATGAATGAAGTCATGTCACCTGCCACCGCAAGCAGCAGTTTCTATGATTTATCAAAGTCAGGTGGGTGGGGACCAAAACGGCTAATGGTGATGCAGAGTTGTCATCCCAGGCTGGTGGCAGGCAGTGGGACTTTTGCATTCACTACCATCAGAACTGCGAACTTAATAAGCATTTTAACTCCCTGACTGTTCACCTGTGGAGAAGCTTAGGGTGAGATCAGCTATTTAAGCATGCAGGACGAAGGTGGGTGGTTTGCATAGGACATCGTTGTTAAGATTTTTGTGAATTGTTATTGTCAAAACACACGGTGTGACTCTATAACATTTCTCACTGTTGTACCCTGGGGAGGGGAAATCAGGAATATCAAACCAGGCTGGTCCCGTGATCTCCCTACAAAGTTTGCCTTGGGCAGCAGCTTTTTTTAGCCTCCCTTGGGAATTCCCAATTCAAGTCTCAGTTGGAGATATCCTGAAATGAGCATGAGTCAACCCAGGAAATTGAGGTGGAATTAAATTATAATGCTGAGAGGTGTTCCCTGTACCCTTCGCTCATAAGGACTCAAATCTCTCTCTCTCTCTCTCTCTCTCTCTCTCTCTCTCTCTCTCTCTCTCTCTCTCTCTCTCTCTCTCTCTCTCTCCCTCTCCCTCTCCCTCTCCCTCTCCCTCTCCCTCTCCCTCTCCCTCTCCCTCTCCCTCTCCCTCTCCCTCTCTGCTATCTTATCTAGGAAATAGTCCATAGGTCTCCTGGGGATAGACTCATGGTTTCTAGAAGGTGTCAAAAGCCTAGGTAAAAAGAGAAAGTTTTGGAGGTTAGGACTAGAACAAAGAGAAAACCAGAAAGCGAATGGAAATAAGCTTACATGGATGCAAAGAAAACAGAGTTCTGGCATAAGCTGGGAGGAAATAATAAATTGCATTTCTACTGTGAATGCAAATTTGCCCAAGGAGAAAGATCAATTACAGGAGAGAGATTAAGGATTTAAGTGACCATTAATTAGCAGCAAATGATGCCCCCTTGAAAGCTAATGTGACATGCACACAGCACTAAATGACTCAAAGTTCAGGGCTGTTTCCATAGACACTCATGGAAACTATCTCTGTCGGGCTCAGGAGAGATTCCTGGTCAGCCCTGCCTCCTCAGATCCAGATAACCAGCTTCCTTTAAATTACTTGTATTGTTTCTGGAGAGAAGAATGTGTGGGGAGTGAGCTATGAAGCATTTGGAGGTGAAGAGATTTAAAAAGACAATAAGAATACAAAGGCAGGCATGGTGGCACATGTCTGGAATGGCAGCCCTCAGATTTTGAGATGTGGAATTACAAATTAGGCCAGCCTGAACGAAACAAAAATGACAACAACAAAAGAACATTCTTTTTTCACTTGATCTTTTTGTTTTTTTTGGGGGGGGGTGGTGGTTGGTGGTGGTGGTGGTGGTGGTGGTGGTGGTGTGTGTGTGTGTGTGTGTGTGTGTGTGTGTGTGTGTGTGTGAAGATGGCACAATTACTACAGGTTCAGGGAAGGTACAGATGGCTTCAGCCCCAGCTTACAAATTAAGGGTTAGGGCTGAAGCACAGCTGGTCTGCATCAGAGAACAGCCTCATAGGCATGACACGCTAGTGACCTGGCTGTCTAAAAATATTAGGACCAGCACTGAGTAAGCCATCGGAAGGAAAACCAATACACCCTGCACAGTGTCTATTACTAAGCAGAAACAGCCAGTGGTCTTTTTGGAGCCTGTGCTTCCAGGTTGATAATATCTTACATTTGTATTGCACATTGCACTTCGACAATCTGAATATTCATGAATATTCCAAATAAAAATCAACTTAAGGGTATGAGGGTGAGGATCACTGAACGCATGAAGGCCTGGGTCCCTCCCTCAGCATCACATAAATGGGAGAGATGGTGCATAGCTGTAATCTAGAATTTGAGAGGTGCATGCAAGAAGATCAGAGTTCAGTGTTCAGCCACACAGTAAGTTTGAAGCTAGCACGGCCTGTGTAAGGTCCTGAAAAACCGCCTAAAGAATGAATTGACTTACTTGGATCTTGAGGCTAGTGAACAGTGAGGCTGGAGGTGGACTAGCCTCATCCCTAACACACTCTTAGCACAAAGGAAAAAAAAAACACTTCTGCTACTTACAGGTCCACTCTGTATTACCTTAGTAAAATGTCAGGTTTCTATGCCACAATGCCCTCAATGTGATTTATGAGGAGGCCTCAGTCTTTAGATCCTGCTAAAACATTGCTCTTGCCCTGCTGAGAGCCCAAATCAAACATGAGTACAGAAAAGCACAGGGAAAGCTGGTTTCCCCAGTCTTTTGGATGTCAGGTTTTTATTTTATCTTAGTTTCATGTTAATAGTTATTTCCTCAAAGAAATCCATTTGGCATTAATGAAATTTCCTCTGTTTTACTCTTATAATTAAGATAGGCTTTTATCATTGAAGTTAAATGTCCAGGATATCTGTGGCTATTTTTCTTCTCTACTAAATAGAAAAATCATTTCCAGTGTTTTCTTCCTTTCTCTGTAAATTCCCAGCTCCCAAATTTCTTTATTTTCTCTCCATAACTGACGCATCCTACTTCTAGTTGTATTTTAAACTTTGAGAATTCAGACCCAGGTTCTAGGAGAGCCCTCAAAGAACCAGGGTATAAGAGAGAAGATAAAAAGAAAGTAAAGTGTTATGAATCACCAACAGAAACAGATGTTTTTTAGTGGTACTGTAGAAAAAGACACTTTAACAGATTGGTCCTAGTGGTTCTCAACCTTCCTAACGCTACGACCCTATAATACAGTTTCTCATGTTGTGGTGACCCCCCAACCATTAAAATTATTTTAGTTCCTAATTCATAGCTGTAATTTTGCTACCGTTATGAATCTTAATGTAAGTATCTGATATGCAGGATGGTCTTAGGTGACCCCTGTGAAAGGATCATTTGACCTCTCTGAAAGGGTCACAACCCATGTGTTGAGAACCACTGGATTAGAGAATGGGATTTAAGACAAAGGAATGATTCATATCCAGGTGTGGGTATGGGCCACCCATAGATTCTTGATTTATACATTAAAAAAATCAATTGCATCCTAACTAAAACAGCTCAGTTCAATATAGTTAATATTTATCATGGAAATATCATCCCATACATTAAGACACATATGATCTCTAAAATATTTTTAGAGAAATCATATACTCAAAACTTGCATGTTTTTGTACCTACTTTTAGTAATATACTAGTCACGTCTATGGTTTCTGTAGAGCTGGATTTAAACACTATGATAGCAAAATTATATGCAGGGATCTACAGATAAGATGAATCCATAGCACTCTTCCTCTGCTTTGTTAAAGGCTTATAATAAGCCAAGGTCATCTGGGATTTTCCCACCAATCATAATGTTTTGGAATGAATTTTCACCTGTGTAAAAAGCCCCAATGCTCGATGCTGTATAGCTGTGTATGAGTGTGTGTGTGTATGTGTGTGTGTGTGTATGAGTGTGTGTGTGTGTGTATGTGTGTGTTTGTGCTGGGGGGTGTCAGAGACATACAGTGGTCTCTGCAAAGCTTCACAGGACTAGAATTTAACAGATTATGAATAAAAAGGAATGAATCTGAGTTGTCCCCGGCACAGTGTGGACACCACCACACTGTGAGAGCTAAGACACAGTGCCCAGCCTAATCACTGACAGGACTTACCTACAGCAGCCACCAGGAGGCAGGACCGCAGAAGACTCATCGCACTTGCCAGTCGTTCTGGGGCTGTACCAGAGAAGAGCAGTGACTACTGGGTGAGCTGCTGCTCAGTTTTGCATCACTCAGACCTCTCCATCCTGTCCTTCTGCTTGCTCACTTGTGGTAAACGTGGTGCTGTTTTGTAAACATCCCACTGGACCAAGGCATACAAGTGCCACATGGAGGTTTGGAGATTGATGCCTTCATGAACCCCACTAGCTTCTCCATTTGGCTCTGCCCTAGGACGATGGCCAACAGTCCATCTCCCTTACAGGAGACGGCTAAGTGAATAATGCAATATAAGAGGAGCCCCTGAGGAGAGGAAATTCCACACTAATATGATTTCCTTTACAGCCTTTACCTAAGGCAATGTTCTTGCTGGCATTCAGGACCCTAATTGCATTAATAATTGAGATCCAGATAGCTGTCTTAAATCAGACTTAGGCGGTAACATCTTCAGTCTTTGGGAACAGTCGCTGGGCTCTTGAGTTACAAGCAGCTAATGGAAACCTGGTATTGTCTAATGAACATCAACTATGAACAATGCGGCAGAGAGAGTGCTTTTTGTTTCTGCTAGGCCCCTTTAATTAAGAGAAACATTGATTTTTGATAAATAGGAATGCTTTTTAAATTTTCATCGAGCACGGTCCACAAAGTAACCAAGATGCGTCTAGGCTTCTTGAAGATGGGAACTATTAATGTTTAGCATCGTTCAATAAAAGACTTTCCATGTCACTTTAAGAAATATTTTATTTATTTCGTTTGTTGGTGGGGGTTGGGTGGGCATGTGCTGCAGGGTACATGTAGAGGTCAGAGGGCAACTTTTGGGAGTTGCTTCTCTCCTTCTACCGTGGGCTCTCGGGGATCCAACTCGGATCACCAGGCTTGGTGGGAAGCACCTCTACCCAATGAGCCATCTTGCTGGCTCCCCAATAAAAGATTTGTTGCTGCTGCTGTTTGATTGACTGAATGCTTGTTCACTTTTCATGGCATCATCTCCTCCTCTTTAGCAGCGAGACCCTACGTCAAGCAAGTAAGTCATGGAGTGATAGGGCAGGAATCCTTTGATGTCTACATACCTGTGAACACAAAGTGTGCGGACACCATTTCCGCATACTCAAAGAAATAAATAAATTAACATTCTTGTCGGGGGCCGTGTAGCAGCTCACAATTATAACCCCAGAGAGGAGGAGTCAGGACCAGGAGTTCAAGTCCAGCCTTGGCTACACACCAAGTTCCTGGCCAGCCTGAGCTATATGAGACCTTGTCTCAAAAAGTAAGAAATGAAACAAAGGAAGCAAACATCCCCGCCCCACTATCAAACAGATGATGGATATCTTTGGTGTAATAACTACACACTAGCTGTCAAGGCCACCGTGGTCAACTGGTTGTGAAGGAGTTGTGTTAGTAGAGGTGGAAAAAGAGAGCTATCTCTGCCATCCGTCTGATTTTGTTGTACATGTGAAGATATTTCAGAAGAAAATGAAATTAAAATTTAACCTGCTGTGTAGGAGTGAACCCCACAAAGCTACCCGCCCAACAGGGCGGGGTCAAGGTAGAGATAAAAGGTAGTGAAAGGAAAAGGGGCCTCTTTCTTTTTTCTCCTGGAAGCCAGCCACGCTTCTAACTCCTGGTATGTGCGACTCTCTCTCTCCCTGATAAATAAATATATTGTTTTTCCCTATATAGCCTCGATTACCGCGATACCTGGTGTCAGGATTACCGCGATACTGCTGGAGGGGAAATCTATGAGGTGTGTTTTTCTTGGTATTGTGTTTGAGAAGTGCCTGTCTGTTACGGACATTGGTACACTGGGCTTCAAGAGATTAGACCACCAAGGATTGATCCCACCCCTTCCTGGCCCCTTGAGCCTGTTCTGAGAGTCTGCTCCTGCCTCTGAGGAGAATCTGAACAAGAGGGAGTACATCTGCGTTGGTAGTGCCTTTCTGCGGAAGGATTCAGAACCCTCCTTTGTGCAGAGGTTTGAATTGAGACGGGGAGCCACATGGTGTCTTGCCACACGTTCCTGTGAGCCATGACTGTCAGACCCTTCTGGGACGTTCTTCCCTCCCATTTCTCTGCATTTTCTCAAGTGCCCATCTGTTACTGCAAGGCCATTGCTAATGATGTGTAATGTAGTACATTATGACCTTCATTAGCTGATTTAACTGCAGTCTGGTGCTGCTACCTGGTACAGCTCTTGGCTGCTACAACCTGCCTCGAGTTTGTGTGTGTACTGCCTCTAGGGGAGTTTGTGGTCGCATATTAGCTCAGCTTTCTTCTTCATGTTACTCTCCTACCAGGACTTAGTTTATTCATTCAGTAGTCTTATATTGGTATCATCTCTCCCCCGAACCTTTAACTTTTTTTTTTTAAGTTTTTGAGATCAATTTTTACTACATGCTTCTGGCTGGCTTGGAACTCATTATGTAGGCCAAGCTGGCCTCCAGCTCACAGAGATCTGTTTGTCTCTGCCTCTGCCTTCTAAATGCTGAGATAAAAGGTGTGCACAGTCACACCCAGATCAATGTTTAATTTTTTAAAATAAAAACTGTCTCCTCTCATTTTCCTTAAACCCCTCCCTTCACAGTCTCATAGCTTTTTACTATCAAGGGCCTCTATGGGTTCTCTTAGAACACTTCATAGGAAGGATAAGTGTGGGTTTGAATTGCATCGAAGCCTTTCAAGCAAATTGGCATAATTAAAAAAATTAGTTATTTTTATTTTCTGTGTCTGAATGTCTTGCCTGTATGCATGTATGTATGTGTACTACAGACATGTCTAGTGCCCACAGAGGCCAGAAAAGGTGTTGTATTCCCTGGAACTAGATAGTTGTAAACCACCTTGTGGGTTTCTGGGAACTGAATCTGGGTCCACTGCAAGAGCAACAAATGCTCTTAACCACTGAGCCATCTCTCTATCCCCCTAAATCAGTATATTTATGATGTAAAGCTCAAGTAAGGAGGGGCTAGACATTCATGCTTCATATGTGTTGTTGTGTGTACGTTATATGGGGGTGTTTGTCTGTAGTGTATGTGTGCATTGTGTGTGTGCATGGTGTGTTGTGTTGTGTGTGGTGTGTACTGTGTATGGTGTATACATAATGTGTGTGTGTGTGCATATACCTCCTACCTCAGCCTCTGCTGATGCTGCAGGCTGTGCCACTGTGTTTTTCCCAGAATCTTCATTTCTGGGGAACAATATCTGGGTAAAGTAAACCAAAATGTCAAGTGAGGTTTGTGTCTACCATCCTCTAACAGCAACTCAGGCCAGGCCCACCTTAAGAGATTTTCTAGAAGTAAGTTCTTTCAGAAGCCCATCTCCATCACCCCAGAAATGCTCCTCAATTTCCGAGTAAGATGTGGCACCTCATAGATGGACCAACATCTTCTGGAAGAAGCAGGGGTAGAGGGCTTATTATGCAAACATAATAAGGAAGTGTTTATTATGCAAACGGCAACTGAGTTATGTGTCCTTTAAGACTACTAAATAGTTTTTAATTACTGCTATATCAGTAAATCCCATAAATATGCAAATGCAATTAGTTCACAAAATAGGCCTTAAATATCTTTATTCGTCTCCAACAAAGTTCTTTGAAGTTAATCGCTAACTCTCTTTGTTCAGTCCCTTGGCAGTTGTGCTAAAATTGACAGGAATTTTGACAGATGTACATATTCAAGGAGAACCAAGGTTCCTGAACACATCTGGCCAGGCTGGATGGAGGAGGAGAGCAGATCAATGCTCTAGCTAAGCTCCGTGTCCACTGAGTGCACCCCCTCCTGCAATTTATTTTGCATGCTGTTGCTTTTCCTTTGCTTTCTGAGACAGTGTCTGGCCCTGTAGGCACTGACCTCTTAGTGATCCTCCTGCTTCAGCGTCTCTGAGATTATAGACATGTGCTATTTTTCCACTTGAGAGTCATTGACTTGTTCATTTTATTTTTGACAGGACCTGGGGATGGCATTGAACTTCTGGTCCTTTTGACCCTATCTCCTGAAGTCTGAGATTACAGGTGCTTCACCACATCTGGATTTTGTTGGTGCTGGTGATTGAACTCTGATTTGTGTGTGCCAGGCAAGCACTCTACCAACTGAGTTACATCCCAGCCCCCATCCCATATGTAGTTTTCATTACCCCATGAAATAAATATCAACTGAGACAGTGCTTCAAATCTAAGCTCACACTCTACATTTGATTTCCCTCTCAACTGGAACTTGCACTTAATTATACATATTTTCTGAGCATTAATTAATAGGTAGTCATGATGGCCTATGCTAATAATCACAGTCCTTGGGATACTAATACAAGAGATTAGAATGTGTTCAATGTCAGCCTAGGCTACAATGCCTCCTAGGACATACCCACAGGTCAAACCAATACAGACAATCCCTTACTGAATTGAGTCTGTCTTCCTTGTGATTCTAGGCTGTGTCAAGTTGACGATTAAAGCTAACCATTACACTGTGGATATCGTGAAGGCGGTCTTGTTTGTCTCTGTAACTCCAGCACAGAACTAACGAATGCTCAGCAGATGGATGGAAGGATGGAAGGAAGGAAAAGTGAACAAATGAGCAGAAAGGATTTTTGGCTTAAACAAGAAAGAGCATACTTAGAGGGGTCCATGAATTTGAGACAAGACTGGGCTATGTAATGAAGTCATGGCAAATCAGAGCTACCCAGAAAGACTCTGTCTTAAAAAGGTGTGGGAGTGGAAGAGTGGTCAGTAAAGTGCTTGCCAGGTGAGGTGGTTTGAATAACCCCAATAGGCTCATCTACTTGAATGTCTAGTCAGCAGGAAGTGGCACTAGTTGAAAAGGATTAAGGGGTGTGGCCTTGCTGGAGAAAGTCCTGGGGTGGGCTTTGAGGTTTCAACAATCCATTCCAGGTCCAGTCTCTGTCTCTGTCTCTCTCCCTCTCCCTCCCTCTCTCTTTCTCTCTGTCTCTCTCCTTCCTCTCTCTCTGTCTGTCTCTCTGTCTCTCTCTCTCTCTGTGTTTAGGGAGCAGGATGTA